TCTCTCCTGGTGGCTACCATTAGCCCCAGCTCGGGTCACTTCCTGCACCAGCCTCTCCAGGAGTTGCGTGTCCAGCCAATGAGTGACAGCCTTTTCAGTGACGTCATGACGCAGAGCCGTCCGCGTGTTTACTCAGATTTCAGCCTGCGAAGTCCTGGTGTCTACGATAGCGGCGCCATTATGGTGAAGAAAACTGCATAGACTTTCATAAACAGCGGTCTCCATCAAAATGGAGACATTTCTGGATTGGCGGGGATGGACGGCGTCAGAGGGCATTTATCACGTGATTAGTGACTGGTTACTTGTGGTTACTGCTGTTTAAACAGGGGCATTGTATTTCCCTGGTTACCCTGGTTACCTTGGTTACCTTGGTTACCCTGGTTACCTTGGTTACATGCCTGTCCTGGTTACAATGCTTTGTGTTGGGTAAAGCCCAGGATTAGGAATTAGCTGTAGGGGAGTTTGGGGGGAGTTGCCCCCTGGGCTCCCAGTATAGAGGGGACTGTGGGCTGGTGACAATGCTACACTGTATTATGTAACTGTTACATTTTATTGTTTATTTTCTGGCATTTGCATTATTATATTGAAACTTTTATAATAATTTTCCAATAAAATAGAAAATTAGCAAAGGGAGTGGAGTTGATTTCTATTTACATTGGGCTATATATTTGCAGATACCCTCCCCTGGGAGTAGAGATACCCCAATCTCATGGTATGGGGGCGCAAGAGCCGATTATCCCCAGTCTCATGGTATGGGGGCGCAAGAGCCGATTATCCCCAGTCTCATGGTATGGGGCGCAAAAGCCGATTATCCCCAGTCTCATGGTATGGGGGCGCAAGAGCCGATTATCCCCAGTTTCATGGTATGGGGGCGCAAGAGCCGATTATCCCAGTCTCATGGTATGGGAGAGTAAGACCCGATTATTCCCAGTCTCATGGTATGGGAGAGTAAGACCCGATTATTCCCAGTCTCACGGTATGGGGCGCAAGAGCCGTTTATCCCCAGTCTCATGGTGTGGGAGAGTAAGAGCCGATTATCCCCAGTCTCATGGTGTGGGTGATCAAGAGCCGATTATACCCAGTCTCATGGTATGGGAGAGTAAGAGCCGATTATCCCCAGTCTCATGGTATGGGGGTGCAAGAGCCGATTATCCCCAGTCTCATGGTGTGGGTGATCAAGAGCCGATTATACCCAGTCTCATGGTATGGGAGAGTAAGAGCCGATTATCCCCAGTCTCATGGTATGGGGGTGCAAGAGCCGATTATCCCCAGTCTCATGGTATGGGGGTGCAAGAGCCGATTATCCCCAGTCTCATGGTATGGGAGAGTAAGAGCCGATTATCCCCAGTCTCCTGGTATGGAGAGTAAGAGCCGATTATTCCCAGTCTCATGGTATTGATGTAGAATTATTAAAATCTTTATTAGAACCTGTATTGAATTATTGTACTAACTCCATTTTGTTCACCTTACATGACAGAATTTCCTGACAGTATTCAGTATAATGAATAAGAGATTGTATTTTCTCTCTCTAAGGACATAACTAGCCCCGGAGTTAGCGGATCTCCGTTGACTTGCAACATAGTATAATCCAAGGCCAGGAGAACAGCGACAAAATGAAATGTTCTATTCATAAAAGAACCTTGGAACAGACCACGAGACTGACATCACTAACTACGTAAAATGACGCCCAAGCCCCCCTTTCCACCGAGTAAGCCTCGTGCTAAAGAGCAATGGCGACGACATCCCATGATGGGAGGGTGCCTCACTAGTCACTCAAATCTCTGAGCCAATTAATAATATTAATGGGTGGACACTGACATAGCCACTTAACATTTAACCCAATTAATGATGTTTATTTGTTATTATCTGATATTCAATGATGATGTCATTTTGCATATAAAAAGGCCTGCGTGCCCGCTTTTAACTAGATGCTAATAAATTTCCTGAAGTGTTTTTAACCTGAACTGCATGTGTCAGTGTGAACTTACTTCTGCGTATACGCAATTTATTCATCTCAGATTTGGACAGGAACAGATAGACTTTTAAACATTTTTGTTTATTTCTAAATTAATCTACATCAATCTGGCGTCCATCCAACGTGGGGCATCGGGCTATGGCCTCCGGCCGGTAAGCCGTCCTAAGGAAGACGCTGTTGGACGGAGGAATCGGGGGGAAGGAAGAGAGACTGATCACCTCTGAGTACACGGTAGAGACTTCTGCAGGAGCCACCGGTATGTTCCAGCCCCTTTGATTGACCCGTCCACGTGTCTGTGACTGCTTCCCGGGAGGGCATCAAAGACAGGTAATATCTTGCCCGGTGTCTTGTTACCCATTTGTTTACCTGCATTTAGTCTATCTGTTGCCTGGGTGTGCTAGTGGTATATGTTTTGTTCTTTCCCTCTTTAGAGATAAAGGGGGGTGGACCCGTGGGTGGTTGCCTGGGGGTCTTCTGTTGCCTGTTTTTACCCCTTTTTAGGAGTCACTTGGCCCAGACTGTTGGGAAAAAGGGGGGGGTGGACCTGTGGGGATTTTCCAAAGGGGTCCTGTTTTCCTGTTTACTTCTTTTAGGTACTGTCTAGCTAACAGTAGTAAGGAAAAAGAAGGGTTGGGGGATTCTGTGGAGGGGACTTGCCTCCTGGGGTTTCCCGGTTACGTCACTTTGATATTCTAGCTAGCCTCATTGTGTACGTTGCTCTGCTTGCAGAGGTTATGGTACCCTCCAGCTTCGAGCGCTGAGGCTGGTGGCATTCCAATTTATTTGTGGTGTGTGGATTCGGGCGGGCATTGTTGTCTCCATCACCACGGGGTAGTGTGACTTGTGGGTGGGTCCATAGGGAGCACTACGGGAGTGAGGATAGAGGTGGCCACACTTAGTGGACTGCTGTAACGAGGGAGGCATATGGATTTCGGGCCGGTGTTAGTCGTTATCCTTGGCCGCTGGTAGTGAAACTTACGAAAGTTGTTCTCCGAGCGGGGACACTATGAGATTGAGGGAGGTGGTCTTGGTGGCCACAAGAGTAAAGGAAAGGGATTACTGTTGATGCATGCACTGTATTTCAATTGAAATGTTGTATTAAATGTTGTCTTAAGTGTGGAGTCATTCAAACTCCTGGGTCTGTCTCTACTTTCACTGTTTACTTTTCCTCTACTTCCTGTACCATTTACACTATCCACTCCTATTTCTCTTGAAAGAGAAGTGATTGGTCACAC